AAAAAAAAAAAAAAAAGACATACATGCAGGATTGCTAAAAAACAAGGCACAAATATACTATATATTTACATGAACCATAGTTTGCAGGTGGGGAAGGGGGGATAGTAGTTATTAAAATAGTTAATATAGTTAATAGAAGGAAATGTTCAAGTGCCCAAAGCAGTGCTTTTCATGACAAAGGAGACAAATTTCAGAACTCTGTTCTCTATATAGTAGGAGATAGAGCAGTGGTTCTCAACCCTCCTAATGCCGTGACCCTTTAATACAGTTTCTCATGTTGTGGTGACCCTCAACCATAAAATTATTTTTATTGCTACTTCATAACTGTAATGTTGCTACTGTTATGAATTGTAATGTAAATATATGATATGCAGGATGTATTTAGGCGACCCCTGTGAAAGGGTCATTTGACCCCTGAAGGGGTCACGACCTATAGGTTAAGAACCGCTGAGATAGAGTATCCGTTTTTGCCAATAATTCCAGAAATTATCATAGACACCAGAAATAGACATAGACACTAGAAATGCTTTTTTGTAGATTAAAAATGAGAAAAATGACATGTGGCCAAAGATATGGAAGTGGCAATAGTGAAGAATAAAGATTTAGTTTGAGGAGAACTTCTTAGCTATAAGATTGTTATCATTACTCATTATCATGCAGCTCTTCACTAAATATGGCCCACTATGAGGAGATAAAATTGGCACTTTTGTCAAGATTGCAAAATCCTTTGTTTCACAGCATCATTAGCTTCATTTTGTCTAATCAGTGAGAATTAATTAGGGAGTAAGTTGGTATATAAAACATATATACATATGTGAGGAGTTTAGGGACAGAGTTGGGGTGAGGTTCTTGGCTCTCTGCCCACTCGGAAGTAGGCTAAGACCAGAATGAGGCTAAGAAGAGGAGGCCAGTCCAGGAATTAAGGAGAGATTTTATTGAGAAAAAAGGAGCAGAAAGTGGAGTTTGACCTAAGAGCCAGCTCGCTGCTTAGTTTCAAGAGGATTTTATTGGCCAAGCGCAGTTGCTCACACCTGTAATCCCAGTACTCTGGGAAGCCAAGGCAGGTGGATAAGCTTGACCTCACGAGTTCAAGACCAGCCTAAGCAAAATCAAGACACACACACACCGCCCCCCCCGCCGCCATCTCTACTAAAAATAGAAAAACTGAGGCAAGAGGATCGCTTAAGTCCAAGAGTTGGAGGTTGTAAGACTTTGTCTCAACAACAAAAAAAGAGACTTTTATTAACTTTATCAGTGTAATTGGGTGGGGTTATGAGGGGAGTCTTTCTCTTCTGCAGAGTGAATGATCTTCACACTAAGGGGTTATCTCTTGTGCCAGGATCAGGGTGGTAGGAAATTGTTTGTTCTGATGTTTCCTGGGCACCTTGGCCTTGAAGCATTCCAGGTGGGTAGAGAGGGGGTTGCTGTGATCATGCCATTTAGTTTTTGACCTGCTTTTTCTCACTAGTTGTCTCCCAAAATGGCTGTATTGTTAGGGTCAGGAGAATTCCTTTCCCACAATATGCCTACATTTTTAAATGCACTGTTGTTTCACATTTCCTCCAGCAGAGGTCAGAAAATAGCAAAAGAAGAATTTGAAAAATCTATGAACCAAGAGACTATTTTAGAGTGATTTTCTCAAGATAGGATTGTGAAAGTTTTTAAAATTGTTTTGTTTTACCTATATTTCCTAATTAAGTTTTTACAATAAATGTGCTCTACTTTTGTAATAATTAACAAGCAATAACATTTATGTTAAATTTTATACAAAAACATTGCTCACATGTATATTTACCCTATATTAACTCAGGGATATTGCTCAATTATTATATTTTCTTAGCTGCACATAGATCATTGGAAAAAGTGTCCAAAAACAGCACAGTTGGCTATCACCATGTAAAAATGGTTTAAATGCAACATCATTTCTGCAACTGACGACTATAAAGTCAGAGAAAGAAAAGCATCCTGAATATAGCTCTGAATTGACAGGAATCTCTCATACACAAAGACAGAAAAGTGAATATAATCTCTGGTCACTTCCTTTGCCTGGAGAAATCTGAGAGATGGTAGTGTTCTGAGAAGTTATTCTCTACAAGTCTTATAGGTAGAATAGGGAGATAAGAAATCAGTCAACCTGACCTGTGTTAAAAAAAAAAGCAGAGAACCCCACAAAGGGTACTAAGAATTGCTGAATAATGTTCAACAAATCACACTATCACCATGCTACATTTTCATTTCTAATTCATGTACTCCTTTTTCTGCTAGACACATATGGAAGCAAGGTGAGATATTTTATTTACAAATCAAGGAAACCTTTTATTCACATTATACCAAATTAAGTAGATGCTTAGTTCCTATTTTTTTTCCTTTCCTTTTTTTGAGACAGAGCCTTAAGCTGTCCCCCTGGGTAGAGTACTGTGACATCACAGCTCACAGCAACCTCCAACTCCTGGGCTCAAGC